TTTTGGATGAATTCCGCTCTTGGATGTTTTGGGGTCCACTGCAACAGTCTTTAAAATAAATACTATTAGTATTTCATTGTTTTAGCTGACGGCACTTTCAGATTGGCTGGAGCTGTCTTGCCTTTTTGCAGCATCCAGTCCAGTGAGTTTTTGTTTTCCCATCTTTGTCGGTCATTTTGGAGACTTTCTCTTTTGGATCTTGCCATGTAGAGATTTTAATTTCTACGGTTAAATTATGCCTTTCATAATGAATAATGCGTCTGGAAAAAAAAAAAGATTCCCCAAACAGCGGTTTGCTTTCGACATACAAACTAACATTTACCTCCGCCTCCTTCTTCTTTCAGTCGCATCGCCCGCCAGTGGCTGCAAGGCATCTGCAGAAGCGGAGAAAGGGGAGGTGCGTGGCGGTCAGCTTGGAAGAAGCCTTGAAGAGGCCTGGGAGGAGCAGCACAAGACGACCTGGTGGCCAGCTGGGAGACAGGGTGGGTGGCATTACACCCTGCTGTGTGGCTCAGCACTCAGGTGTCACCATATTTATGGAGAATTATTTATCTTCTGGACTAGGCCTGAGCAACCAATGAAACAATAGCAATATGTATCAGCAGGAGACAATCACCAATAGCCGGCGTCTCAAACTCATAGGAGGGCAACTTCAACGTTCAAGTGCTATTACACAGCACAATATTTAAAGAAATACCTCCATAAGTAACATCGTACTGCAAACAGCAGTTTCTATACATGTTTATATCATCTTTGTTGTGTGTTTTTTTTTTTTTCTCATTGTATATGAAGGGAAACGGATTATTTATACTTTTGACATCATACCAGAGGATGGGGGAGGGAGGGCCGCAAATGGCCCCCAGGCTGGCAATTCGAGATCCCTGATCAATAGCAATAATAATTTTTAATAGTTTCACTTAAAAACATTGAATGCAAACTGGGTTGCTAAATAGCCTAACACACCTCTTGATGATGGAGCATGCAATGAGTCAGTCACCACAGCTGCTTCCACCATTTGGATTATTCAACATGTCATCAGTCACAACCTCCATCTGTTAATGTCAAGAAACAATTTACAGACAGTCCTACTCAGCCACAGTACTGTATGACAAAACATTAAAATCATCACCTTAGTGCCTTCATACATAAAGTGTGTAAATTCAACCTTTTTTTACCTGCTCTTTATCAAAAATAGGTCATTAAAAACAATCAATAATGATTGATATTCCCTAAAATGAAACATTTCATTGTGATACATTTTTCAGCTTGAACTTCTGTGTTACTACGCCGCTGGTTGGTAATGAAAGTCTGCTGTGATTGTTGTGTCCTCTGAGTGTAATTAGACTAAATTAAACTGTTTCTTCTGTGTGTCAGATTGAGGAGTTTTTACCAAACCGAGTGGGATAAAGTCCACCAGACGTACCAGGAGGAGGCTGACAAATGCCGCATGTTGATGGAGCAGCAGGTCAGAGCACGCACACACACACACACACACACACACACATAACATAGCACACGTAAGTGTTGTTACAGTCACTCTGTTGTACGCACGCAGTGACAAGTAGTTGCATGTCAGTCTTGTAAAATGTTCTTCAGCCTGCGACTCTCCTATAAATGTTTCATTGTGAAATAATTATAGACAAGTTGAACACAAAGTCAACATGACGTAATAAATTTATTTGATTGATCAATCTGCTGCTGCACAGCTAACATGGCTGCAGGGAAACTGATGTGTGACCAGTATGTTTGTTAGAGAGTGCTGACTGGAAATGAAACATCCCATCATCCCACCCTCATCAGACTGAGCTCTGATAGGTCAACAGTCTGTATTACAGTTGTAACAGAACAATCTGTAATAAGCAGATACTGTCTTTAGTGAAGTCATTTGTACGCCGCCCTGATTTGCATCTGCGTCCTTCAGGTGGAGGAGCTGAGGAGTCGACAGGAAGCAGAGAGGAAGAACCAGGAAGAGAGTCACAGCCAGAAGATGAAGTCTCTCAAACTGCAGTATGAGACCTCCATACAAGGTGTGTGCAGGACAGATACACACACAGATACAGCATCAGCTCAGCATGTGATTCATATGTAACTGCTCAAGCATTAATGGCTTTCATATACTGAACAAATATTTTCAAGATCAGTCATTAGTTTAGTTTATTCATTTTTTCCGATGACTTGACCCTAATGTGTGTGTGTGTGTGTGTCTGTGTGTGTGTGTTTGTTCCTGTCAGAGCTGAAGAGGATCCAGCAGACAGACCTGGAGTACCTGGAGAAAACACTGAAGGAGACTGAAACAGCTCTCTCTGTAAGAGACGCTCATATATTCATATTTACACTTTTTGAAAAGAAACAACTTGAATGTCTTACTGAACAAACATTTTCTAACAAAGAAAGAAAAACGTTTGAGATGTCATTTTAAACCTTTTTGGAACCAGAGACATACTGTACTGCAGTGAGTATTCCTCCACAGTGACTCACAGTGCATGCAGGTCAAAGGTTTTAGTGTTTTGCTCACTGAAATGCTGCTGCGGCAGTCGGACCAGAGACTTTTCCAGTTTGGTTAGAACATTGGAGTCGCCTTGCTAACCAAAGAAATTTTTTTCTGCCCCTGGTTTCAAGGCAAAAAATTCCAAAAATGCCCAAAATCCTTTGGAATAACGCTGATGATTAATCATAGAAAATTCTTTCCTATAATTGCATCTGTGTGCTGCCTGCCAAATTCCCTGCAACTTAACATCGGTTGAGTAAAAATGTAGAGTTCAGTTGTAATGTTGGAAGCAAAAAGATAGAGGATCGAGAAGAGGATAGATTTCAGCAGGACAATAATCTGTATTTCTACTTTGTTTTGCTCATTCTTTGTGTTGTTGTTGGCAGTAACGTCTTTTAATCAATCATTTGTTTGAAGCAGTAGTTTGATCAGTTTACCTGCTACTGGTTTTGACTCAGAATGTCTAACTTTGTAAGAATCAAAACTCAGTGTTCTCTCTGTAATGACGTCTGTCTCTGTGTACACGTCTTTCCCTGCAGGAGAAAGTATCTGAGCTGTCAGTAGAGAAGGAGGCTCTGAATGAGAAGCTAAAAGCAGAGGAGGAGAGGAGGAAGCGCATACTCAGTGACAAGAATCTGGTAAAGATTGTTAAATCTATAAGAATGTTTCTGTTACTGACTCACTGAGTGAATGCAAGTTAATAAAGGAAAATTAACCAAGTGGAATAAACGCAGTGTTATTGTACACGGCACAAACAAACACGAACGTCATCCAGTTAAATTCTTCCCTCCAGCAAAGTTTCTAAAACCCCAAGGAGACACTGCAAACTGTTAGTCAAAACATTATACAGGGAGTCAAGTGGGGTCATCAAACCTGCTTTTCTGTCAGGTACAGTTCACAACTGATTTTCTCTAGTCCAGGGGTCAGCAACCTTTTAAAAAAAACAAAACACATATTTGAGCCTTATAATACTAATTTCTGGCCGCAGCACAGCGGTCAGCTAGCCGTTGGTGGAGAAAACAGTGCCGGAAATGGACTGGTACTCACCAGTAGTATGTACCGGCACTTCTGATTTTTGTCCACGAGTACCCTTACTTCTTTATTGAGTTACGCCACCTCTGGTGAGAATGGCCACCACTGAGGTCACCAGTATTTCAGAAGTACAGAAGTTGTGAAATAATTAGTAATTAGTAACTACGTTGATGCCCCAAAACCCCCCTAGCAGGTAAAATGGACCTCTGCATTTCTAAAACCCTGCGTGTGAGTTCAGGAGCTGACCTCGCCATGGAGGTGAATCTGTTTCTCTGCAGAACACAGCTTCCCTCTGCTGGTTTGGAAGAATCACACACTGAACTTAGCATAACGTGATAGCATGACCACTTACTGTGGTGACTGTTATTGCAGTTCATCTGTATTCAAGTTTGATGTCTAACTTGTGTTTGTTTGTGCAGAAGGACTCCCACACAGTGTACCTGGAGCAGGAGCTGGAGAGTCTTAAGGTGGTGCTGGAGATCAAGAACAACCAGCTGCACCAGAAGGAGAAGAAGTTAATGGAGATGGACAAACTGGTGGGCATTAATCTGTCTCTGACCTCACATACTATCATCTTGGAGAGTTAGTGGTCTAAATGTTGTTCCAGGCTTAACTCTGGGGAAAGAAATCTGACTTGTTTTCACTTTTTGTGTTTGTGTGTGTGTGATGTGTGTTGTGTGTTGTGTGGCAGGTGGCAGATAATGTGACTAGAGTGTCTGAACAAGGTCCAACAGGAGAATGAGGACTACAGGGCCAGGATGGACAAACACGCAGCTCTCTCGAAGTATGTACTCGTGCTCCTGCAGCTGCTGTGTGTCTCCTGTCTATGTGGATATTCAGCTCACCGTCTGTGGACTTTCAACAAAAGGTCCATCGGCCATGTAGTCTTATGTCACATGTGACCTTTCCTTTAACTCATAAACTGTAAGATAGAACATTGTGTTGTGGACTAGACACATTAGGAGCCACCATGTGAGGCCCTGTATTCACATATATTCACACGAACAATAATCTTAACTGAACAATCTGAATGAGAACAATAATCATGACCTGTTTTGAGTATTATTAGAGTATTACCTGACCAGTGAAAACATGGACATTTGTTAATACATAAATAAACACTATATTGTGTTAATATTACAGATATTTAGATTTATTAATTTTAATTATTAATTGCACAATAAAACAAAACAGCAGATGACAACAACAAAAGAAAGGAAGCAAATTATGCAGTTGAGATAAAAAAAAAAAACCAGAGGCTTATACAATACAATCTCACCTCAAAAAACCAAACCGCAAACCAATCATTTAAAACCTGACAGCGGTAACTACAGCTCTCTGTCTCCCCCTGCAGGCAGCTGTCCAGCGAACAGGCCAAACTCCAGCAGACGCTGCAGAAAGAGTCCAAGGTCAACAAACGTCTGTCCATGGAGAACGAGGAACTGCTGTGGAAGCTGCACAACGGCGACCTGCTGGCGAGCCCCCGCCGCCTCTCGCCCACCTCGCCCTTCAGCTCACCCCGGAACTCTGCCTCCTTCCCCACAGCTGCCCCCTTATCGCCCAGATAACCCCTCCTCTCCTCTGACCTCCCGACTCTCCTCACAAAGATGTTCCAAATACAGAGAAAGACTTAAGTGACAGCAGGCGTTGTTGGAATATTAACAACAAACGTGTACATTTGGAATAAGTTGCAGTAAAGACGCTGATTTCGAGAGCAAAGACATTGCAGTGGCATCGATGCACTTAAGTCTGAGCGTGGGACTGGCCTTGCTGTCTGGTTCTCCAAGAGACATTTCTTCTTTTTCTGAAGAAAACCTAAATAACAGGCACACCTCAGGGTCTGTACATAGCGCCTCACTTTCGTTATGACTATCCTTACCTTTTTTTTCCTTTTATGTTGTACAGTTTAAGTCCAGTATTTTCTTTTATACCCCTCTTTTTAAAGGGGAAGATGAGAGAAAACCTTGGATTTGTGGCATATATGTGGAAATGGACTCAAACTGGTTTGGGTTTGGTAAATCATAAAATGACGGGTACTACTCGGTGGAATAGCATGGATCGTTTTGCCTTTTCCCTTCTTTTAAAGAGGACGTCTTTTTCCCCCAAAGAACGAAGCTCAATCACTGATCTGCTTTGGACCTCTGGAAGAAACGCATGATGTCCTTCTGTGGGCAAACGACTGATAGAACCTCTGATCCAATGGATACCTGTTCCTCCGTGTGAGCTCCTCACAACCTCTACCTTAATCTATGTGGAATGTAATCACCCTCGGATGTTAACTCTGAGCAGTTAACATCATCAGACACACATCATCTCAGAGCCAAATATGCAGTTTATTTAACAGGGATGGTGTTGGCCAGGACAGTGTGTAACCCCCCCCCCCACTTTACTTTTCCCCTTAAATCTCTCATTACCGAAGAGAAGATACGACTCCCCACACATCCTCTAAAATCACCTCGTGCCCAAACAGGAACAAGGCAGAAAGCAAAGCTGAACCAGCGACTGAGGGTTCATATCCGTCTTTGCTGTGGGTCACACATACACAGAGAAAACTCCCAGACTCTCCTTAACTGCCAGACTCTGGCCTCTCTGTAACGGAATCCAAAAACAGTATCACTTTGTGTGTCTGGTGTTTTGTCCTGAAAAACCTCAAATGTCCGCATATTGCCTAAGTCTACCATGTTCTGCTTTATTTTGGACACAGAATAAATACAATATGACATAAGAGAAAGCAACATTGTTTTATTTTGAGTATTCAGTGGTATTATTTCAGGAATACAAGAGAGGTTTCTTTGTACCCTGTAACAGATGTGAATAAAGTTAGATATTATAAAAACAGGAAAGCTTTCCAGAAGCCATGTTGCTCGCTTATTGGCCCTGAGGAGGACCAACGGCGTTGCCTGCTGCTGTGCTGGGCTCGAGTTGTCCCGGTAACGGGGTGAGGACTGGCGGCAGATGCTCAAGGTCGGCGGCTCGTACCATCATGACCACGGATTTGATGGAGTACCACCAGCCGTGCCATGTGTACCACACCACGCCGTCGTCGGTCATGGCTTGGTGCGGCCCCTTGTAGTAATGACCGTTCAGGTTGCCTGAATCACACCTATGAGGAGGAAGTCAAAGACAATAACAGTACAAACCTTTCACCCCTTTATTAATTTGCTCGTATTAAGTGAGACTGAAGTTGCGTTACCTGCTGAACCACCAGCCCGACTTGCTGTGTCGGATACACTCAGCGCCATTGTTTTCAGCGTCGCCGTCGTTCAGCCGATCGTAGGTTCTGAATTTGACCCTGCTTGACCCCGAGCCTGGACCGGCCAGGGAGTTCCCTGCGTTCCCAGTGTAGTCTCCCAAATGTAACTGGTACTGGTCCTGGAGTCCAGGAGAGTAAAAGCAAAGAATAAATCTTTGACGTTGCAAAAGGCAGAGTGTCTGTGGGATCTAAAAATGTCTAAAATCAAGAATTGGAGTTGTAGCCCTTAGAATGTCTTAAAAATGGATTGGATTAATATTAATATTTAATTAATATTACTTACTAATATATTACTAAAATCTTTCAGTCTCACTTTTAAATGTGTTTTGCTGCAGCTAGTGAGTCTCTCACATCAAAACCATAACAAAAGACATTTGTTTGTTGTGAAGCAGTGTGGGATCACATCGATGGGGACGTGGTTGTCTGTCACGCACCGATTGCGCGATTCATCGCGCCCGAGTACGCGTGGGGTCGGCGCCGGGTTAACGGTGCGTGATAACGATGGTGGATGGTAAACAATGTGGGCTTCAGAACTGATAAACAGTCAATGTATGACAGCTTCTGGCAGACAACCCACCAACACTGACGCAGACGGGGGGGTATGATGCCATTGACACAGGCACAAATGGAAACATTTGGATAATGTAAGGATAAAACTCAAACTAGATATAAACATAAGCTCTAGAATTTTATAGACTGTTTAATGTTACAGATCAGAGCTCCATAAGCTTACCTGGTGAAACCTGCAGAAACCCTGAAAGACACAGCGGCTTACAATGTCCTTCAGACGGAAACCACGACAGTACTTTTTACTTTTATACTCTGAGTACATTTCAAGAGCCTGTACCAAAATTTTCACTATTCATGTGAGTTGAGAGTTGAATCATACTTCTACCTGAGCAAGAGATATGTGTGTTACTTGCCACATCTGCTTGGAGCAGACGTCCTTGCTTGTTGTTTCCATAGCAAAAGAACCATAAAACACAAAGAACATGCATAGTCTAAATAAGACCTGTTGTTATGGGGAGATGAAGAGAGGGTAGGTTAATGATGGGAAAAGAATAGAAATCAGAGGAAAAGGACAGACCGAGTAGTTTAGATTTACGCTGTTTTACAGGACAGCTGATTTAATCCAGTCTGGAGGATTTAAATCACTTCCAGGAAGTGTGTGAATTGACACAAAAGAGAATGAGTGGACTCCACTTTCGCACAGTGTCTGTTTTACCTTTTTCATCGTCCACCTTGAAGTTCGTGTACTCTGACGTTAGCGTGATACCCTCAAAGTCCTCCATGTCGACCCGCAGTCGTAGTTTCCTGTTAAGCACTGAGTCACACCAGGCAACCATCCTATAAGTCTGACAGATCATTCAACACCACGTACAGGCACACACACCCTGTGGAGGTGAGATGGTCGTAGTGTTCATTGCCTCCAACCAGAATTCTCCCTCAGGGAGGAAGAGGTTCGTCCAAATCCAGTTGCTTGTACTCCACCCACGCTCTGCACACACAGCCCCGTGCAAACACGTCATTATCATCAATTTCTATGTCAAACATATTGACATGTGCACTGTTTGTAAGTTGGGTTGTTAAAGCTGACGCACACACACACCGTGTCAAAGCTCTCTTTGCCATCCTTCTCCTCTGGAAGACTGCCAGCCTCTCCGTTGGTTCATGATCGCATGTAGACAGCTACAGTGCATGATGGGGTAAGCCGTAAAACAGCATCCGGATACTGGATCACGTACAGATAACCCTACTGCCGACTGTTTACAGTCTTGCGAAAGCCTCGAGCAGTCTGAAGAATGCTACAAAGGTACAAAACTATTCAGAAAGCGAACAGGGGGAGTACATAATTGGTGGAATACAAATATTAGCAAACAAACACTTAGACTTAATGTCTGGGGAGGATATTCATTTAGAGATACATGTGAAGCAAGCTGACAGAGTTCATTCCAGTGTGGTTCCATGACTGGCTGTATTCTGATACACATTGATCTATATGTAGATATATCCAATTGTCTGTGCACTAAAAATATCCAGACCTGAATTCAATCAAATTATAACATAGTAAATACCTAAACAGTTATATCAAAGAATAAATGTGGTCCTGGGGGGTGGCAAATTGGTCCATCTACCACTATCATCCGATTTCTTTTTATTTCCTATTGTTTTCTATTATAATATCAAAATAATCAAGATAAATCCCCAAATAATATTACAATTTGTATAATTATTACATTCAAATGATGCAATTAGAGTACCTTTTAAATGAAATATTTATTAAAAATACTCACAAGTAAATCTTTAAAAAAACTGTATAAAAATAAATTATAATAATGTTATATTTCATGTTGAATATAAGTGTTACACTCATCTTCCTTAGCATTATCTGTTCATATCAGTTCGTTTGTAAAAATTGGATTAAAATAAAAAAATTTAAATTTGCAACAGTTTTGCTTAGCTCAAAGGATCATAAATTCAAATTCATTATCAAATATTATTTTTATAGCAAGTTCATAACAGAATTAAATCTCAGGACACTGTAAAATCAGAAGCATAGGGGTCTAGGACCAACTCCATTGAACATTGTATACTGTTCGTACCACATCTGGGACGGGTCAAGAGTACACAATGCCGAACTACCTAGTACTCCTCAAGTCCTTTCTCTTGCCCTCCAATTCCCTGGCCCGGGCGTTCTTTCTAAAAAAGAAATAATCAATCAATATAAACGCAATAGTAATGAAAAAAATACTCATGAACAAGAAAGAAGATGATTTAGGCCAATAGAATAAGACCTTCACTCTATAAACGAATTACGGACTAGATTAACTGAATAAGTGTATGAAGTTATTGGGAAGGCTGAGCGCGACTCAATGGCTGCATAACATGATAAAGTCCGAAGCTCGCATGTGATTAGTGAGACAGGACCATTATGGATGGACAGAAGAACAATCTAGACAATAACATGGGAAGAGAGACAATTTTGGGTATATATAATTTGCAGTGCGGAATCTTTATTTTGTTACATATCGTTTATGCATCTATGGTGAGATATGGACTCTGTGTGACTCTGTTCATTGTACAGTAACGTGAGGTTGGTTGTTTAGTACATACAAAATTTCTGGTGTGTTGTCGAACCTTGTTTTGATTCACTACCATATAA